CTATCCAATCTTGCCACCTGTTCATCAATAACACATTGTTTTGTATAGGAGTCTTCAATCGTGGGATCATAGTCTGTGACAAAGTAAGACTGCAAGAAAAATAAATTACATAGAATTATCCCAAATGACTAAGAGGAAATTATGGGCTTCAAAATACTACAATAAGTATACCAACATTTATTTCTATAAATATGTTTAAATAGATAATGTACATATATTTCAAGTTTAAAAGAACAACCTGTAATTTCAAATCTAAAATCATGCTGATAATTTTCAAAAAGAATAGAAACTTGCTAGTCTTCCTTTTCAACTCAAAATCCTCGTTTACATACACTTCCACCTGAACATGTTCTGTATATGGTGTTGTTTACACAAAAATTCATTTCAAGAAATCAAAGTTACGAATATCAGTTAGGAACTACAACTGACAAAACATTGCTTTAAGATTTTATTAAAATTAAGCAATAAAACATACAAGAATAACAGCCAATGTTATGAACCCACAGTATATATTATTTAATTGATCTAAGACTTTTTTGTATGTTCCAAAAGATTAAATGAAAAAAATATGCATAAGATTTCTTCACAACACTATCCAAGATACCTAAAATAACATGGAATACAAATATGATTGTTTCAAAATGTGAACCCAACTTACATTATTAGACAATATATTTAAAAAAAAATTATTACATGTATCTGTAAAAATGTACAATCAGCATGATTATTAAGAATTGAAACCAATTTCTTTCAAATTGTTAAAAATTTTACTGTGTTGGGATCTTTGAATTTAGTGATGAAATTCAAAACATTTTTCAGGGCAACAAAAATAAAAAAAGTGTAGGCAAATTCAATACTTCTCAAAAAACATCAACCTTTAATTGAAAGCTTAAATAATTAATAATAATAACAACAACAACAAACACCTTTACTACTTGTGAATCAATTATCATATATAACTACTATCGTAGTAATACAAGTTATTGATCACTTTGCTTCTGGTCATCCCCATGACTTTTGACTGTACAGGTTAAAAATTCTGTTCCTTTAGTTACAATTCAACATAACTTGTAGAGACATGCAAGTGCAGATGGCACCTAAAACTGACCCCTTCTGGAATGGTTACATTACAGAACTTTCTGATGCAAATTTTTTCTAAATTGCAATTATAAAAAAATGCAAACCATTAAATTTTAGCATTTCTAATAAAATGATATTTGTTAGCATTGTAACATATTGGTAAAAGCAGAAAGGGCATGATTCAAACAGAATTAACAATCAAACAGGCTATTCCATGATTAGCTACCAGTTATATACCACAGAAAGTGAAGAAAGTTAAACAGCTTGTCACCAAGAATAACTTCTAACACAGCAGCCCACTGGAGCTAAAGTAGGAACCCTCCTTGTATAAACAATATAATTTACAAGAATACAAGTCTACAAAAGTAACAAAATAGTTGTGTCTCTAAAAGCACAAAGTCTAACAGAGCAGCATTTGGCATGTGAGAAATGGAAGTCATCACATAGATGAAGCAATATCTCCCAAAGGCCTCAACAAAGTTTGAGTAATTTGGTATCATCTTTCTAATGTTACAACATTTAAAAAAATGGTACAGAGAATGTCATAAAAATTTTTTTTTCAAAGGCTTTTTGAGAGTTACAGGTGTATACATCTATAATGGCAAGTTAATAACTCAGAGAACTGATAAAAATTCCAAGATGTACTCTACGTACTATCTGGTTAATGTGCTGACACCACTATACTGTAAGGAAATACCATCTTTGTATGGACCAGACGCCATTACATATGACTCCATCAAGACAAAGCATCCAGCAACATGTACAAGTCAACATTTCAGTTTTTCTGCAAGAAGCAAGTATAAGTAGGAATTCTTGTAATAACATCTGCAACATACCAGTTAAATCACCTGTTGTTCAATGAACTTCTGTGCCTTTGGGTTGCTCAAACAAATCATCATAAGTTGTCTACATGTGGTTGATGGATTTTGAAAAGTATATATAAACAAGTGGGACAACATTAACCTCAGTTTACTGCATAAAAGCCTCCTACAGTGGAAACAGTGAGGCAGAGTAACAGCCTATAATCAGGCCATTACATTGAATACCATCACTGGATTGTGAAGCCTAGCCACTTATCTTTGCTTCATTACCATAGTTTCTGAGTAACCCTACATAATTTAAACATCAATGGCTCATTATATTTGACATATTTTCATTTTCTATAAAGAAACAAGTTAATTCTAATCATAGTAAAGATTCTGATGAGATTTTTTGTTGTTGTTTCACACATCAAAATTTCCATTTTTGTGAAATTTGTTTGAAATCCTATAAATTACAAATATATTATCAGTAACTGAGAACATCTTCATACAGATTATTATTATTTTTATAAACACATGTAAGAAATGTAAATATCTTACCTCATTTCTTTCAATATTCTCAATTAAGATAAATTATCAATTACAAGTGCATAGAAATCCCAACCTACAAATCCTGGCACAATTATAGCTCATCTTTAACAGCAATAAATAGATCTTAATGCATCTGTATGTTTTCACAACAAACAAAATAAACACTAATTTATGCATGACACCCTTGTAATTTTTGGCAGTATTATGGAATTACATAAATATGTATGAAGGGGGGTGGGTAGGGGGTGAAGAGCAATATCAAATTTTAGAATAGATGTAGTAGATTATTTCCTAGAATGAGTTATTTGAACTAGCGAGACCAATGGGTAGGAATGATGTATTTACAAGTAATGAAATTAGACTTCACAATTAAAAGCATATGTATGGAGACCAAAGCTCACAAAGTTCTAAGACTATAGTATCATCTTCATGTAGATGTGGGAAGATAGTTACTTCTAATCACAGAAGAAAACAATAAAATTAATACAGGCCTTAAAAAAAATGGAGATCAGTATATTATTAGAAAAAAAAAAGTGTCTTTAGTGGTATATCATGGCTTGAACCTCTGACATTCTAATCTGCAGCCCAACATACTAACCACCAAATTATGCCTGGTCCTAGACCACTGGGCATGATAAATGTTGGTATAAATAGCAAACCTAATATGACTAGATTTATTTCTACTACCATATAAAGAAGATTATCCTGTTTAAATTTTAAACAGCTACTTCTAAAATTTAAATACATCTTTATTTCACAATAAATTTCCAAAACATTCTGAACTCCCTCTTTATACAGGCAATGAAAAAAAAATTTGCAAATCAAGTACGATGTAGGGATGACAATACCAAAAAGTACAGAAACAAGGTAGGAATGAACACACAAAACCATGCAAAAATCACTACACAAGTAGCCAAATCTTTTCAATAATAACTTTTATCTGCAACTAAATGTTGAATTCCTGTCAACTGCATGAATTCAGGTTTGAATAAAAGCATTTAAAATGAATAATGCTATAGAGTCTCACAACATCTAATAAACATAAGCTTGTGAGATTGACTCAGCACTTATTGGCTACTTATGTAGGAATTTTGTGTATTCATCCCCACCTTGTTTTTGTACTTTTAGGTATTGCCATTCTTACATCATATATAGTTTTTGCTAAAAAAATTTTTTATTACTTGTTTCCCCTCTTTTTTTAAACAATTTCATTGAAATAGGTTGATAAGTGAACATTTGTTTTATTTTTATAATTCAATGGTAATATATTGTTAATATCATATCAGTTTCTCCAATTTTGGATTACATTGGGATTCAGTGAAGCTGTAATGGTTTCTCCAGGACAGTAAAAGTACCTTGGAGCACTGTACTAATGTTAAGAGGATATTTACAGAACCCACACCTTCCAACTTCACTCCAATTCACTGCATGTGCATACAATCGATTCCACAACATGCTAGGGTTACGTCAATTAATAGGGAGTACACTATACAGATCCCAGGCCATGAAGTATGATATCACGTATACACACACAGCTGCCAGGTTCAACCCTACTGAAAATTTGAAGAAAAGTAGACTGCTATATAATGTATTGATTTGATAATTAAGAAACTGGTGTTTTTAAACTGAAAAATCAATAGCATGCAGAGGGAGATTGGGCCGCTGGGACACCAGGCAAAATCCCAGTGGGCTGGTGTGGTGATAACCAGGTTATACAGTTCCAGTGCTACTGACTAACCTACTGCATATCTCTCTTTTTTTCTATATACATACATACATAAATAAATAATGTATGTATGTATGTATGTATGTATGTATCATCCTGAATTTTTAGTATTTGAACTGGCCATGTACACAGATCTGTCAGTTGCATAAATAATTGATGTTCTTTATACCTTGAATATTAATTTAGAATATTCTTTCTTTATTTATTTGCTTTTACTGAAATTGTTTTTGTAGATATATTTGTGCAATGAAGTCGCAAACGGTCGTTATACAAGAACAATGTGTACTACCATCTAGCGACAAGAAATGAAACTGTTGTTTATGAAACATGGAAATAATAATGCTTATAAACTGAACTCACTGCCAAGTAGTAGTTTTCCTTTTTTATTATTTGCTCACAAACATACATGTGTTAGAAGAACAGAATAATATTTCTGTTATACAAGCTCTTAAACACCCGATAATGGAAACTGTGTGATCAAATAAAGCTATAACTCAACTTTATCAGTTATTTCTAAGCAACATAGAATAACAGATTAAATACGACGGCCATTACTTTTTCGACCCATATCTACATTCTTAACACTACCATCCTTAGTGATAGCCTGTTCCAAAGTAATTTTAAAATGCTTTTCTGTCGTACTAAAGCCATTGCAAAAACTTCATTCATTTCTTGGCTAGCGTAGGAGAAAAAAAAAGAAGAAAGATTAATATTTTGTCTCTTTAGCTAGTTCCAAGTTCTCCACTTTAGCAATACCGTTCAATGATATTGGGAGTCTCACAAGCTGTGAAACACTCGATAATGGCAATTAGGTGTTCAAATAAGGCTATAACACAACTTTAGCAGTTATTTATAAGCCTCATAGAGTATTGCATTGAATGCGGCGGTAATTTTATTCTCGACCAATCCCTACATACAAAGCATTAACGTGCTTAGTGATCCAAGATTACTCTTTCAACAGTTATTGTATGAATTTTTTTTTAATATATGGATCCCAAGCCTTGTGGAAAATGAAATTCCCAAACTTTTCCTGGACCTTTTCTCTGAACAAAATGTTATTTCTTGATCATTTGATCTGTGCTTGCAATGTATCATTGAACTATTAACCCATGACATGTGAGACTACAAAACATTACTTATATATTGCTTAATAAAGATAAGACACACGGTATGTTAAGAGTTACAGTGTGTTTAAATGTAATCTTGTAAAGTTTCAATATGATCGGTCACACTGTTCTGGAATTAGTATTAATTTATCTGGACGTACAAAACAAAGGCAGATCTAGTTGTTTATGATAATGCATACAGATGACACTTTTTAATTTAAATCATAAAAACTACAAATTTTAATATCTGTGATAGCATAAAAACTACAAATTTTAATATCTGTTTAAAATGAATTATTCTTCAACTACAATTCTCATATGTCAAATATTTATTAAAGCAAAAATGTCCAAACTTTTAGTTGCTAACTGTACGCTGCAGTAAACCCATGTTTCCCATACCTTAAAAAAATTAACTACTTTAGCACTAGCACGTGGTCCCCTTTACTGCTGTTCAATTTGGTGCACTTATAACTATAGTAAGAATCGTTCAACAATGTCAGCCAGTGAGTTTGAGAAATTTGTGGTTTTGTGAATTTTTACGCATCTGCTCTGCTGACTTTCTCAAGTGGTTCTTCAACTTGTGATTTTGTATGTGGTTTGTTTGTCATCTAAGGGCGTCTCTCAAAAACTTTTGAAAAGTTATTATTTGGTTGTTAAAGGCGTATATAAGTAAGTAGTTTGTATTGCATGTATTGTATATCTGCCCTATTCCTATTATAAGTACTACCGCACTTTTTAATAATAATCGTACACCATCACGATGTACAATCATATTGTTACGTCTCCAGTC